AACTATCTCTCTCCTTAGATAGTTTGCTGTTACATTTACTGTGGAAACTTGGGTTTCAGATTAGGCCTAAATACATTCCTCATTCACAATGATTTACATAGTTGCCCCCTAAAACATCAGCTTGTGTTGAGGTAGAAAACACTTGTGAGCCTCAGTAATTTCCATTTTACTCATACAGGCAGTTAGGGCATAGTAAACAGATATGCAAACCGAGTTGCATTATATTGTTACTGGCGTGGGCTGAGAAAGGAGTGTGGTCAGATTGTGGGTTGTCTTGTGGGTTATCCTTCACCTGCAAGCTCAAGTTGTAGTTTTATAATCTTTGTTGCCCTGCTAGCTTTGTTACCTCATCATCGTGTAGTGATTTCTCACTTCTAGCTTTTGAAATTTTGGCAAAGTTTCACAGCCCTGGAGGAAATTCTTTCACCTTATGTCATCCATTCTCATGGATACTTTCTCTTTATAATTATGGAGGATGCAGGGTTGTGGACCAGACTACTCGTTCAGTTTCTTAACTGTGAAGAGTGCTTTGATCCTGGTCCTTATGAGAGTGTGAGCACATTTGTCTCTCTGTGGGGAAAGTAACTCAGTGACAGGCTTGGTAGGTGATGTCAGTGAGTGGAAAGTGATATCCCAGCAAACACTGGAAGTGGCCAGTGGTCCGTTGCTGTCTACTGGTGCATTTCCTTCTTGTACAAATAGTTGTGTATATGTATACTGTAATTGCACTATAATGAGGCACTAATGTGTACAATAAATAACTGTGTTTGAATGCTTCTGCAAGCCCATACACACCTGAGCTTTTGCATGGAGTCAGAGGGTTTTAGGGCAAAAGAGGCTTAGATCTCTAACAGTGAGAGGGGGATTGAGTAGTGTAGCCTGCCAGCCGGCCAGCCAGCCAACCATCCAGACTTACGTTGCAGCTGTTCTGTCTTGCACCACAACGCTTCCACTGTTCCACTTCCAATACAGCACTAATTAAAGCTGCGCCTATCGCAGCTACTGCCAGAAACCCACCACCACCACCCGCTCTGAGATCCCCCCCAACCTCCCCAACAACAGCTGCCCAAGATCGCACATTTCAATTGAGTTATTGACCGGCTCTTTTCTAAACTAAATTTACTGCTTTCACTCTTTTCCCTCCCCTGCCTTTTGATTTAATCTGGGCGTAATTGATCTCTTCACTAAGGTCTTTTTTGTCTTCTTCTACCACCCCCCCTCCCATTTTGCCACAGGGGCACCATTTGAAACAGGACGTGTGCAAGGCGGCAGCAACACGGGGAGGGTGCAGGCCAGAAAGAGGGATCCCGCTCCACTGAGGCATCTTCTCTATGGACGGCCATTGAAACACAGATGGGCCACCAACATGGATGTTTCAAATACTCTGAATTGTGATTCAAATTCCTCCACTCTTCTAGGTCTTTTTTTCATGCTGGCTGTTAATGACTGCCCGTTACATTAGTGCATGTCTCCGTAGGTGATCCAGGCAGAAATGGTGGTATCAAAAGCAGAAATCATCTGGTCCAATCTGGACTAATCACTGCACAAAAGAAAACGGTTCCAACTGCGGCTCCTCTCCTGGCCACTTCCTTTCCCTTCCACTTAAAAGTGAATTCCTGTCCAAGAAGCATACCGTTGTAGATTAGGTTGAAAATCTTTCCTGTTCTGGCAGGATAATCCCTAGGGCACGACTGCTCTGGGCACGTCGTTCTGGTTTCCGGTCAGCACGGCCACCCCTCTTGCCGGGATTTTGGGTGTTCCACTCACTCCTTGCTTTGTGGGACCAAGTCGGCTTTTGTGGTAGGAAATTTGGGGTTGTTCGTACTTGCCCACAAGAAGATCAAAATGATGGCTTCGATGTGAATGATTCATACAGAGGTTTCTGTTAAAAACAATGCAAAGGCCTATTTTGGGTTTGTGGATTGAGAGCTGGGTTCCCCCCATGGACCCTTGCATATCCGAATGTGGTACTGGGAGTGGGAGAACCTTAGATATACATTTAAACAGCTTTTCTAGGAGCTCAAGTGGCCTTCTTCCCATGCCACCCACAGCCACAACTATACCTTACTTTAGAATACTGAAGAAATGTGAATGAAAATTTGATCTTTCCTGAAAGGCCTTAGTGGTAATCCAAATGGCTGGTGCTGTACCTAAAAAAACATTTGGGAACTGTTTGTACTACAGTAAGACATTTGCCAAAAGTATGAAAGCAAGCACTGATTTCAAAATAGTTAGAAACTGTTAGTTACTATAGCTGCAAACAACCAACACAACATGTTTGTTGACATAAAACTTAACCAAAATGTTTTTCCACAGTATCCTTTTAGTTTGCAGTGATGTACCCTCATTATAAGGGAAAAGCTTTCACATTTTTCATTGATAGCAGTCCCTTACACTGACCTGTACACATTTAACGCACATTATTTGCTTAATGAAGCCTTGATGACAACATATAAACACCTAATTTAACCTGCCTGATTCAGTCAATAAAGCCTTCAGTCTGATCTGAATATAAGAATCAGGTGGCTATGATTTCAGCTACAATATAACTGCAAGAGAATCAGCAGGAACTGCAGACATTTAGATAGAGATGGGCGATATGGCAAAAATGTATCAGGATACTTAAAAGACATTAAGAGACATTTTTGTGATACATGATGCGTATCGTGATATTCTGGCACACATACACAATGCACTAGTAGTGCCACATTTAAAAAAAAGATTTTTAAGATTTTACATTTTGCACACTGTACTGCACTAATTCAGTTAAACAAGACTATTTATGCTCCTAATTTACATGCAGTTGGTCAGTGTTTTTTAACCTCTTAAAAGGCCAGTTTTATTATACACTTCTTCAACCTAAGAAAAGCTTAACTAGTTTGGATTGAAGCCCCCGTAGTTAGAGTAATAAGCTTTAGTATGTAATAAGCCTGGGATTTTAAGGGTTACGTACTGATGACATCCATGATATGCTCACAAAAGCATACTGGTTATCATGATAACAAAGTGTGTTTGATTAATAGTTAAATATTATATTGTCCACCTCTACATTCAATGAGACCATTTTGTTATATGTTGCTAAACATAATACTCACCAAAAACGCACAATTGTATGTGTATTTTTGCAAAGTTCCAGTTACTTCAAAACTTTTGGCCTGTAGATGCATTTTGAAGCTATCGCAAAGAGAATGGAGCCTAATGATGTATGTAACGAAGAAGGTGTTCTATCTTCAGCTATAAGCTTCACTGATAGGACCAGTGAACCTGCTAACCGATGGTTTTTGTTTAAGATGACAAACTTGCTGTGAAGTGTCTGCTCTCCAGGAGGGTGTTAAAATCAGAAGCAAATCCATCTCAGACTACAGTCCTGAGTCATCATGATCTAAACTCCACAGTTCAGTGTAAGCTTGTCATCATGTCTCCACCCCCCCACACCCGCACCCTCTTGGCCTTTGCCGTCGGAAACAGTGCATTGCATCTTGCGGAATGGATGCTGAAGGGCCTGCTTTACATCCCTTTTAGAGAAAGGGGCAGTCCGGGTAATGCTGGAGGTTTCTGTGGTTTTACACTTCACTACCTGTGTTTTCAGCACACACTCTTTGCAGCAACGTGGGTGGCAGGTTATACTACCATGACACACACTCCCTCCTCTGTGTGTATGTGCGTGTGTGCGCACGCACGGTTCCGTATTGTGCTTGGCTCTCCGCAGCCCTCCAAGTCATCGCTTAGCTCTTTGCTTGGAAAATGGTCAGATTGTTTCATGATGAAAGCCCGATTCCTAAAGAGGCAGTCTAACTGCAGAGGTCTAAATTAGATTTACATATTTATTGTTTTCCCTCCTGAGCGGTGCAGCATTGGGGCAGTGATGCTGCTCTGGCGGTCCATCCCGGGACCCTTTGGCCCACTTGCCATAAAAACACAGAGAAAACAACAGAGAGGGAGAAAGTAACAAGCAGGGACATTGGGCAAACTTTCCACTGCTGACTGAGTTTCCTTTCTCACTCTCCACTCTCCACGTTCACTCACACTCCTCCTCTCCCCTTCCTACCCTCCCTCGTTCCCTCCCTCCCCTCTTGTTCCCTTTATTTGTAGTGCAGTCAGTGCTTGGCATTAAATCTTATTATTTTTCAGTAAATAAACCGGTTTCTGGTAGGAATTACACCCAGCTTAGTGTGAGGTCCGTTTCATAAAAGGGCCTGGAAGCTTTTATGCGTGATGTTTTCTGTGCTTTCTGTTTGTGCTTTAACAGAGAGACACTTTCTGACAGCTTAGAAAAGAAAGAGTCCAGGTTTTTCTTGCGGTAAGTTTTTTTTTTTCCTTCTCCTTTTCCCTTCCACTCCAGGCATTGTGGTGAGGGTTATTCGAAGGGGCTGCATTTTTCCTTGATTTCACTCTTTTGTTCTTGGCTGTTTCATAAGTAGTTCCAGGGTTGCAGGGCTGTGTGTGTGTGTGAGTGAGTGTGAGGGACCGGTGTGACACCTGCTGTGGTGAGAATGAATGGGGGGTCAGGGACGGACTCTAGCTGCAGCTGCTCCTTCCCACTGCTGTCTCTGGAGGAGCATACACATACACACACAGAGGCATGCATGCAGACACTCACAAAACATGCAAATGCCACATGCACAATCAAACTCAATCCAACAGGAAGTTTATTGTTATTTTTGCCTTTTTTAGCCACTTATACATCCATATCTGTATACTGTCCTCAGAACCCTACAGCATTTATGTTTTTTTCACTATCCCAGTGCGTACATGCCGGTAAGTGATTGTAGATCACAATAAAACATACAGTATATGAGTAAATACTAACACATACATAATATATATACCAACACAGAATAATCACAGGCATCCATATAGTTAAAAAAGCTAACCAGTATATTTATATATAAATATAATTATACATAAATACATTTTCAGGCTTGTTTTAAAAACCATCTCTTCAGACATGTTAAAAAAAAAATGAATGAATAAAAGAACGTAAATAAATACGCTTATAAATCTGTTATTATTGTGATATTTCCACTATTACAACCCCACAGGTCAAGCAAATGGACATAGCATCAAAGCATTAAACTATTATAAGGGATGCTTCAGGAGCACGCAAAGCACTATTTGACACTGCAGTTCAATTCAACTATAATTATCCCCACAGGGCTATTTTGAGCATTGAGAGCATAAACACACAGAAGATATCAACGATGAAAAATATCTATAATATATTCACATACATTAGCTACACCAGTCATAAAGTAAAAAGGCTATAAAATTTGGCCCATATACATGGGACATAGTTTAAAAATTGAGAAGTATATAGCTGAAAACTGCTTTGTTCATGGACATGTCTCTCTCAGCCTGCTCTGTTTGCAGAGTTTGTACTGGAAGTATGTGCTGACCTGTGATCTTTCTTTCTTCTTCCAGCAATTAAGGCCATCTCCAACATAGTCACCCTCACAGTGGCAGATGTATGAGCCAATCGTGTTTACGCATTGTGCATGGCGGCTGCAGTGGTGGTGGCCTGTCGCACACTCATCTTCGTCTGGGGAGAGGACAGCACCGGGTGAGAATAAGAAACGTTGCAGGTGTCTTTAGGTGCGTGTGTGTGGTGTGCTTCCCTTGCAGGATTGTGTAGCAGGTCAGGCTTTTTTAATAAAGCCATGACAGCAGAGTTGCTCATGCTGCTTGAATAAAAGGCCTAAAACTGCCTGCATTGTGTACAGTAAAACTGCACTGTATATCAAACATTACTTTTCAGGAGAAGAAAACCTCTGCTGTCTAGCCCTACTTAACATGAAATGGGAGCATTTAGAGAGGAATTATAAGCTCTTATTTATATAAAAAAGTGTAGAGGGAATACAAGTTTTAATTTTAAATTGTGATGAAAAACTATTATGGGAATTATGGGAAATAAATGTTCGACCAATGCTATTGGTTCCAAAAAAATTGTAATTAATTTGAAAGTTAATTTAATTTGATCCCATTTCCAACAAACAGCACTTTCTATTTGAATAGGCACATATATCATTCAAATTGAGGAATGTTTTTCACTTGTATGTATGCAATAGGCAATTAGTTTTGTAAGATAGACCTACAAAATTATGAAGCACACAGCTGCAAATTGTGAAAAAACTGTTTTGTCCATGCTCTTAGAGAGAAAGTGTGATGTACAGAGGTTTCAAGAAATCACACATGGGTCTTCAAAATTATGGAGAAGGATGAGGTGGACTGCAACAGCTTTTGAGAGCTACTGAGGTACACTGAGGCAAAACTTGCCCTTCTCATGGCATTGATATTCCCTTTTTTATTCTGGCCAGTAATGAATGATAATTAGAACTTTAGAACTTTAAAATATATAGAACTTTCAGTTATCCGTTATTATATATTCAAGTAATTTCCTCAACTATTTAGTTTTAGTTATATAATCATGAACATATTATAGAGGGTTCCGGCGGATCCTTAGTCTTATGAAGTCCTAAAATAGAGGTGAAAAATGTAAGGTCATATAATATCTGAGTTTGTCATATTTTTCACTTTTAGAGGTGTTAAAGGGGAATTCCACCAATTTTTCAAACTTTCTGCAAAATCAAATTCTTAAGATTTAAATATAATTGTTCAGAGTGGTTTGATATGAAAAGCTGATGCTAAGGCTAATCTAGGGTGGGGATAGGGGGTGAATTCCCTAATTAAATTGTAAGATTATTCCAAAAGGTCAGTTTATATATTAAAATAATTCAGAAGTAAGCTACAGCCGAGAATAGACAATGGTACTGTAGTCAGAAACTGACCACTGATGAAAGGCTAGACACTGGCAGAACTGATCTTGTCAAACACACTGAGAAGTCTGTGAAAGGATCATGCAGTCTTAAAGTATATATCTGTGGTTTTACAACCAGTCGGTTTGAATAAAACAGATATTAATACATGCCATATCTAACTTTGTGTGCCGTTGTGCAAGTGTAAATGGTGTTATTTTTGTTGAGGTATTAAAGAGGCATAAAAAAGTTTTGAGTGTGATTTTAAAGCTCTAAGGCTATCAGTTGTGCCACAGCCCCTGTAATAGTTGTCAGCCCCTATGTTTAAAATAATGCTGAAACATGAATTTCAGCTGTCGCACAGAACAAACAGTGGCCAGGAGTGTGAGTATACACCTATTTAAATGCTGTTGTCAAGAGGGGTGTTCACATTAACAAAAATATCAGTCACTTACAAACATGGATGAAAAAAAACAGAATTAAGCATTAAGAGTTCTAAAGTGAATGTAACTTAAAACAACATCTCTGAATTTGGCCTGTCTGAGCAAAACATACACAGTGCTGAAAAACCACACAGATGTCCCGCTCTTCCTTTAAACCAGTGTGGCTGCAGGTTTTCATTTACACCAAGTAGGAACACACCTCATATAACTACTTAATTGTTCAAAGACTGAGACCCACTGATTAAACAACTGGAATAAAGTGTGCTTCTGCTTGACTGAAATGAAAACTTGCAGCCTGAAGATTAATTTGCCGCCCTTTGTGGATGAGATTTGTGATTTCCAAAGACATGTTTTTAAACACTGCCTGTACTCAGTGGTGAGTGCTTTTAATTAAGTCGTGGTGTACACTAGCAGAACACAGATGCATTCTTCACACATGTTTAGACACTCTAAAAAGCACCATTATGGTTCCTAAACAGAGTAGTATTTCAGCCAAAAATGCTGCTCTTAGAAATGAATGAACTTTGGTTGGGCCTAACTGTTGTTAATAATGAATAAAATTGGGTACAGTGTTAACATTTGTAAGTAAGATAATGCCAACTGGCCCCACTGGGTCAATCATGGTTACATTTTTGGATGAAATGGAATTCTAAGTATTAATTTGCATTTTCATACTTGGATGTGAATTATCTTTCAGTTGGAACACAAACAGAATGAGAGTACCTCGGCATGTGATAGAGTTCCCAAACATTCCTAGGATGTAACCCGGCCTGCACACACACATGTAGCTCCCAAAGGTGTTCCTGCAAGTCTGGCGCTCAGAGCAGACAGGGAAGGGACCCTCACATTCATCTATGTCTACAAAATCACACATTAATAGAAAACTTGTGTATTTATTTAACCCCCAATGCACAACAGCTGGACATTTGCAAAGGTAGATAAAGGCTTCTCTCATCTTATAGGAAAACTGCTTTAGGACAAAGTACCTTACTGTAAAGTAAATGGGAGATTATAAAATAATTCTATAGCTCTCTCTTATGTATTCAGCTGCAAAATATATTCAGAATAAACCTATTCCAAGATCAGTCTGAGCATTGTGGCTGACCACAATAAACCTCCTTCATTCATTTTTATTGTGATCAAACCTAATCCACTTTGTCTAATTCTCTTAAAATAATCTAAAACAGATCCATCAATTTTACCTGCCTGTAATAATGGTATTTTCTGCTGAAAGAAATAACATACCAATGGTAGTGTCTTGCTTATAGGTTGCAGAAATCAGTGGCATTACACCCTGTTCCCATTACACAGTGATGTATATACATGTATGAAATTTATTTTTGGGCTCACTTAGGTAGACACTGATTCCCTTAGAGAGGTTACAAAATGGGCAACACAGACTCAGTGCACCTGGATACACACTCCAACAAGACATCTGAATACAAAAACAGCCCCAAAAACAACAAAAAACAAACAACTTGTTCAGAACAGTCACTCTGTCGTGATCAAACGAACACAGAATAGGGAGTTAATGACCACTTTGATGCTCCTTTGAAATGTACACCACTGTTAAGAACAAGAAAATCGGTCTCTCTTTCTTCTCTCTTTCCTTCTTGCCTTGCCTTCACACAAATAGATTACAGACTCACAGCAACATGAATTGCCTCACTCTAAAGCTTGTCTTTTTCCATTCTAATTCGTGACTTTTTACGCTAAAGTGCCAAGTCATTTATGGATGTTGAACATAGAAGCCACTAATTTTCCTGGTGAGTGGATGGGAATGCACATGTTTGGAGCATCATGACAAAAATAGCTTCATCTCACATCAGCAAATAGCTCTGAGAATACTCAGCATGTTAGATGAAATAACTTCATAGCCATTACCCCAAAGGCTGGCAATGTTACACTACTGTATTTTTCAAGACATATTTGGTGTCTAAAGATCATTGTGTTTGTTTTGCACTGATGCTATGTGTAGTAGAAACAAATATGCCACCAATAAACATATCATTACACATTTGCCTCAAATGAAGAGTTGTTAAGTAATCTTAAAGAGACTTGTTTATGTGGCTTTTGACAGTGTGTGGCCTACTTTTCATTATAAGAACAAGCACAATTAAGGCTTAAAGGTGTCTGCTATTACGCGTCCAGCTATGTGGTGCACTTTTGTCCATTTTTATCGAAAACAGTATCTGTAACAAAGACTCATTTTACTTTCCTCTCCTTCCTTTCCTTTTGCCGTGGGAAATGTGTTGGGAATTTCTACAAAGAGCACTAACAGAGTCAAGCTAGGTAATGAATAAAAAGTTCAAACAAATTACCAAGAGGAGCATGACACTCTTTAGTTTGCCTAGTGGGAGTGTTTGAAAACATTCTCCCATTGCTGCATGGAAACCTATCACCTGTGCATACTGGAGATCATTTTTGGCAGATCCTGCTGTGGCTAAAGCTAATGTCTGAAATCATCCCTAATTTCACCTGCTGGTGACTCTAAGAGCTTTATTTTACGCAGTGTGTTGGCTTTGCTAAATCATTGCCTGTTAACTATGCAGGTATCTACTCTAATTGCTGTTCTAATTTAAAACAATTAGGTAGTGTCTGTGGAAGCCGTGGCTGAAGTCTGTGTTATCACCTTTACATGTTCTGTTATCTGGTGCCAGCTGGAGCCCAGGGGGGCACAGACAGCTCAGCGCTCCATTCCTCCCGATCTGGCAACCAAGCTGGCAACGAAGGCCACTGCAGTCAGGCTTCCCTGGACAACAAAAGAAAATAGAAACTTTGGCTGCTAAAAATCATGTTCACACGTATATAAGTTAATACTGTATGTGAAGTGGTGATCCAGAGCGACACTTTATGTAATACGGGGCAGTCAGTAGCGACAGACATTCTTGAGTAATTTTGTCGTTGAGTACTAAAATAAAAACACAAGAAATCAAATGTGCGAAATTAAAAAGGAGCAGTTTGGCACGAGTGCGATATTTATAGTGTGCTTTGTTTACAGCACTAGTTTAGTCACAGAAACAGAGCTGGACTCCCTTTTTTGTTATATGGAAAATTAAGTGAGTGCTTATAGCCTGCATTAACAAATCCTAACTTTTGATTATTAAGGTCATTGCTACCTTGTCAATAGCTGAAAGCAGATGGCTGGTCCAAGACAACAACGCGTGTTATAGAAAAAGATGTATTTGCTGGAACTAAAATATGTTTGTGAAGATCATGGCATCCCATCTTCATGTTTTGCGTTAAACAGTTTGCAAGTACATAAAATATGCTTTCTGACAGACATAACACTTTTACATGGCTTTTTTTTGTAGCACAGTTCTTGTCAGTCACCTGGCTTTATGCGTCATGCAAACATAATAGTTTAAAGTAGCTGGTTCTTGGCCACATTAATTGATGAAACCCATCAGACTCGCTGCCAGTGGGAAATTCAGCCTAGCAACACTGCCATACTATTTGACTGTAACTCAGAGATCCAGGTGAGGTGTTTTGTTTGTTAGGTTTATGTGAGATTTTTTTTTTATTTGTTTGCAGTCAACACAAAATCAATGCAAATTTCAAGTTCTGTTTTACTATTCAAGTAGGTGGTGAGTAGCAGTTACTCGGTTAATGAATTACTAATGTCCATCCTGAGAAACCAAGTGCTTCATATTCAGAGAAACTACTGAAACAATAAGAGCACAAAGTGCACCTTACGCCTATTGGTCCCTCTTTTTTAGGTATGTGAATCTTTACTGTCTGTGGGCATAATTTTGCATTGTTTGCAAGATCAAGCATTTGCGCTGTATTTAAACACTGCTGCTACACCTATAGCAAAATGCTGTACCGTAATTATGCGTGACTCATTGTGCTAAATAGCCAGTTGCCTCTTACTTTTGATGTAGCACTTTATTTGAATAATGTTATTTAAATAGGCATCGTCCATGGTTTCCGAAAAGAAATTTAAAATTTTGATTCGTTTGGCCACAGAACACTTTTCCACTTTGCCTCAGTCCATCTTAAATGAACTTGGGCCCAGAGAAGGCAGTGGAGTTTCTGGGTCCTGTTTGTTTATGGTTTCTTCTTTGCATTGTAGAGCTTGTAGAACTTGCATTTGTGGATGCACTGATGAACTGTGTTCACAGATAGTGGTACACTCCTCCGCATCTTTACTTCTGAAAGGCTCAACTCTCTGGGATGCTCTTTTTTATACCCAGTCATGTTACTGATCTGTTGTCAATTAACATTGTGAGCTTTTCCACCAGGTGTTTTTTTTTAGCATTACTTAACTTTACCAGACTGTTATTGCTCCTGTCCCAACTTTTTTGAAACATGTTGCTGGCATCAAATTCAAAATGGGCATATGTTTTTCAATAAACAATCAAATTTCTCACTTTCAGCATGTTGTCTTTGTACTATTTTCAATTAACCTTAGGGTTTAAATGATTTGTACATCATTGAATTCTGTTTTTATTTACATTTTGGACAGTGTCTTAACTGTTTTGGAAATGGGATTGTACATAGACTTACTGATGCAGGACCTGCTGTCAGTATCCAGTGTGTAGCCAGGGTCGCAGAAACAGCGGAAACTCCCCGGAGTATTCATACAGCTGTGGGAGCAGGGCCTGTGGTGTAGCCCACACTCATTTATATCTGCCGTTAAAAACAGAGGCATACTCAGTACATCTAGTGGCGTAATTATGGTCCTTTTACTACTGTCATAACTTTTAATTTTAAGTTATTACTTGATCTCAAAATTATTATTAAAGGCTTCTTTATGAGTGTTGGGGTGGTTCTGGATTGAAACATTTGACTTTCTTGGCTTCTTCAGCCAGGATTATTTGTAGCAGTATGACATGCAGTTTTGTTTTTTCGGACTGAGAAGCCCATGGTACAGTCTCTAGTCCTCACGAGGTAACAGTTAATATTAAGCAAATAACTGTAGGTCATGCTTACTGCCTACATTAATGTTCATCAGTGGTCCGGCTGAAATGTTCCTTTAAGAGGGTATGGCTACCTTACCGTCATTGCACTGTTTCCCCTTGTAGCCTTTGTGGCAGGAGCACCTGTCTGGACCAACGCAGACACCATTCGTACATGGCTTTTTACATACAGCTGTGAAATACCAGAAAGACCAAATTGGCATTTTTGATGAGGCTGTTGAAAAAATGAGGCCAATTTATATTCCTGATTTTTATTAAGAATCTTGGTTATGCAAGTTAATTAGTTAATTTGTTTGCAAAATGTTTCCATTTGACCTTTTTCTTACAAACAAGTGAATCTATATTCAAATTGACTTCATTCAGTTTGGCTATATTTTAGCAGTACGGTCTGTATAGTTTAATGGGCAAACTTTACGGTAACAGTACCTTTTAATATAATGCATGGGATAGTGTACAGTACATCATCTGTCATATCAGTGTGTCTCATCACTTACGTTTGCAATCCCCATTTACCTTCCTCCAGCCATAACAACAGGACTGAAGCAGGCCAAAGGTGCAGAAGCCCAGCCTCCCATGCTGCAAAGACACATCCTTCTCATTTCTAGGGGATTAGAAGTGTCTCACAGTGAGTACTAATCAGTCTAGTGGTAATGACAATTTTTAGACTGTTATATTGCACATTTCAGTATATGACAATAATAAGAACATACTAAAGATTTTAAAAAGAGAGAGACAAAAGGGTATGGAAACTTTGAAATGCTGATTAAACATAGCACATTACATAATATATGCTATAAACCTTTTTCACATTTTGCAGTGGAAGTCATCATAGTAAGGAAGACATTACAGCAGCAGCAGCGTTTACAAATGAGATTGAAGAGGATTCGCACATTTTTGTATCTTTATTAAGGAATTTACCTAGACGCTGTTTGTATGGCTGGAGCAGTTTTAATTTTTTCAGAAGTGCTTGACAAGGTCTACATTAAAAGTAGACACTGGTGCTGAAAAATTTGTCACTAATGTTACAAAGCTAATGTCAGCTTCTTATTTGAATTTTCCATTATATATTAAACCATGTAGAAGTTACATTCTGGTGCCTAATGTGCCAGAATTTAACTGTTGCACCGTTTAAGGTGGATCAGAAAATTCAAATAAGAAGCTAAGCCTAGTGACAATATTCCTACTGAAACACAAGTGATTGGACATTGTTATGAGGGTTAATATATAGGAACAGTGGCCTAGTCATTTACATTTGACACTGCACAAAACAACATTAACATTAAGCATTAAAGTTAAATCACATAATACAACCAAAAGACAATGAAGTATAACTGACGTTGTTAACTTTACTTCTAACCTGCACAGCATTGACTATGTTCTGGTAAACATCAGACAGCTAACCTTGTTGGGTAATTGTCATTAGAATCTTAATATACCTTTGTGGTCAAGCAGGTAATTCTTAAAGAAAGGCTTGTTGACCTGGTTAAGCTTGCTTATCTCTGAAAATTAAAACTACTCTCTTAAAAAGATGGTTCTTTATTAAGGACAGTGGTTTTATACAGAACCATGAATACTCAAAGATGTCTGTGCTTAACTGGTTCTTTGCATGGTGAAATGGCTCTTCAGGTTGGTGGAAAATTTGTTGTATATAATTCTATATAGAAACATTTTGAAAATAGTTCTATATAGCACCAAAAAGCGTTCTGCTATTGTTACGATGTGAAGCTTGTAACAATAGAAGATCTTTTTGGTGCTATAAAGAACCCATTTCAAAAAGGTTCAATATAGAACCATATACAAATTCTCCATCAATATGAAGAACCCTGAACCATGAAGAATCATGCAAAGGGTTCTTTGAGTGTTCATGGTTCTATATACAACCATTTTCTTTACTAAAGAGCCTTCTTTTCTTAAGAGTGTACTCCACCAAACAAACACTATCTTTTGCAGAAAAAAACTCCTTAATAAGGATGTTAAAATAAGCAAGTTCAGTACATCAGTGGAGCATGTTTTCCTACAATCTTATTCATAAACGCTGTCACTACTTTAATGTTTTCTCTACTATGATGACTTCTGCTTCTGATTGTCTGTGAAAGAAAAGTGAGATTGCAGTTTGAAAGACTAATGTGCAGCTTAGATGAATTTTGCAAATTGTTTTCAAATGTCTCTGGTTTGATGAGTGTGAGAGAAGTAAAACAGCAGTATAAAGAAATGTGATTTAAAATGGAGACAATTAATTTCATACAGCTCCAGTCACGAATAGCTGAAACAGTGTGACAGTCACCACTGGACTAGCTCAGAGTTTACTAATGAGAGCATGGTGTGTAGTTTTAGTGTGTGTAGTAATGTTGTTCATAGATTTAAGTTTCAATACCAAAAAGGAGCTTACAAGTTGTAGTCACTTGAGACTAGGACTTTAAAGTGTAAAGTGTGTTAAGCCTTTTTGGTGATATTTCTTGTTCTGTTATGATCACTTCAGCGCTGAAGCCATTTATCTCAGACCATTTATAAACATTGCTAAATGACAATTATAAACATTGTTAAATATGAATAAAATTATAAGACCACACTTTGTTTCATCATAAATCTTATAAAATATGGAGAAGTCACAAAAAAGTTTGAGATAACTTGCACATACCTGTTGGGAGGAGAGGCCATGCAGAATACATGCAAGAAAAATGCAGTCATCAAGAGCTGCTGTGTCTTTTTATTGCCTACAGACGGCACCATGTTACTTTGTCAATGAATCTTCCATAAAACCAACTTATTTGGAATATTGCAAAAGTAAATAGGTTTGTTTTCCAGGCTCCGTGTCCATTCAGTAATTCTCTACAGTTTGAAAGGACTCCAGGTCAGGGGTGTTGGGTTGTTGGTGACATAGGTGGATGGAAAGCCGAGCTGTTAGTATTTCCTATGTCTGTGGCATATCACCTGTGTGTAGGTTTGTGTGCATGTGAGAAAGAGAGGAAGGGGTGGAGAGAGAGGGATGGGAGGGCAAGAGAGGGAAGGAGTCAGCCTGTGATTACGGCCATCAACTGCAGCTGCAAGTACTGTGAACATACACATTCCCCTATTCCAGGGGTTGGCAACCCAAATGTTAAGAAGAGCCATTGGGAGCCACAACATTTTATGTCCATTTATTGAAGTAGCGTTTTACCATGTTGGCTGTAAATATGTCTCAGTATGTACTAATGTCCTAGCACAGACTAAAAATATAATATAAATGAAATTGCAGACTCACTTTGCTCTGCTTTAAGTTTTTGCTCTGCTATAGCTGCTTTTCTCACATCTCTGACAGGAACCTTTTCCGCAGAAGTGAAATATATGTAAAATCTCTCAACTTTCGACTTTTTGTGAGGCTGAAGTCAGCTTCTCATTCACCACCTTCTTATTTGAATTTTCCCGTTCCACCTTAAATGGCGGCAGAATGTTTCTGCTGCGCCATTTAAGGTGGAACGGGAAAATTCAAAAGAGAAACTGACTTCAGCTTCGTGACTTCTTAGTGTTTGACAGTTACTCATTGCAGATTAAACATATCAGACAACCAACTGGAGTGCTAATAAATGCAAATAAGTCCATTTGTCTCCAAATTATCAATGTTCATCTTAAATCATTCTCTTTGCCTTTTTGTTAGCTACTAGCTAAGTGAGATTGTTATTTAACCAGCAGTCTGCAAGTTAATGCAGTCCTTTATGCTGTATTCAAAGATTCCTTTAATCTTCACTTCTCTGTAGAGCTTGGGTGCAGCCTTGTCAGAGAAGTTACATACCTGGGTTCCAGTGCATGTAACAAAAGCCAACATTTTCCACAACTTTGTATAGATACATGTCTTTTTACATGAGGTAGGTGATGGATTGTGCTTTTTTCTTAGCTTGCTCAGAATTGGAAGGTAGCTTTGTGGCGCCAGCTAAATGTGTCCAGTGTTGTTTGGTTTTTCGATTCAGCAGTTATTTTCTGCACCATTTAAGGTGGTGCAGGAAAATTTGAACGAGAAGTTGGTGAATAAAAAGCTGAAAATTCAAACAAGAAGCTCCCTATTACCCTGGTAAAATGAGTGGGTGACCACTAAAGATTTGTAAAACTGTTATTTAAAAAAAAAATAAAAGACCTAAAAGGCTGTATGCAATAATATCAATACATGTATTCTTGAACAAGAACACTTCAGTAATGCTAGTTGACAGTTGTCAGACTGAAGTGACCTGTTTGAGCTTGTTTGATTGCTGCGTTATTAATAAGTTGTTTGTTTCATTTTGACCAATTTCTGCATGTTTTCATATGATTATTTATTTCAAAAGGATAAAATATAGCAAGACAAAATCTTGTGGTCACAACAAATTGTCAGATGGTGGACTTCCTCTTGGGTTGGATGATAACTGAGACAAGCTTATATTGTGGGCACACTCACCTCTGAACGTGACAGCTGTCTAAGTATTGCTTAGATCATAGATTACTCTGGATTCTAATAATTCACACCTGCTGGTGTGAATGTATATTCAGTTAATTTCAGTTTTGTTTTGGGAGTCCCGAAACACAACATATGCAGTTACATGTTGAGTGTTTTGCATGTGACCATACGGTGCATATCAAGCATTGCTTGTCTCCAAATCTGTGTACTTCAACGCTCAAAGGGAACATATTGTGTAGGACATAAATGACTCACAGACTAATCCCTGACACATCCTGAATCACTGTGATCAAAATGTAGTGCAGGAACCATGTTTTTGGCAAGTCATTGGCAGTTCAAGTGTTAATTTCTGTAATCCTGTGATGTCAAGCAAAGAAATTGTTCTTGACGGTTCAGATGATTTTAAATGACTTTGAACTTTGAAGCCATGTGTGTGTTTTTTTTTTTCTTCTTTTTTTCTTTAGGAAAGATCACCGAGCAAATCAGTTTGTGTTAGCCTCGAGATCCAAGTGCATGCCTCATCGCTGTGCAGTTCATCCAGCATCCAGAGGTGGGCTAAAGGAAACATGGTTCATGTATGTGTGGTTCGTGCACATTATGATTGTGCTCATTCAAATCCCATTTGATGTAGCTGGGCTGCATCTTTTTCATGTTATACACAGGTGCTTGAGTGAATCTTGAGTGAAAAAAAGTTTTTATCTTTAGTTGCGTAAACCCGTGGTGCTTTAGTGCCACCCTATTCTCTTGATGGTTCCACAAGGGTTCTTTAGTAAAGACAGTGATTCTATATAGAACCTTAAACACTCAAAGAACCATTTACGTGCTTACATGTTTCTTTGCATGGTGAAATGATTCTTCAGATTGGTGGAAAATGTGATGTATATAGTTCTATATAGAAACTTTTAGAAAATAGTTCTATATAGCACCAAAAAGCATTCTGCTATTGTTATGATGTCAATCTTGTAATAATAGAAGAACCCTTTTTGGTGACATAGAACCATTTTTAAAAAGGTTCTGTATAGAACCATATACAACATATTCTCCATTAATCTGAAGAAACATTTCATCATTTAAAGAACCATTTAAGCATGCAATATAGATAGAAACTGTTGTCTTTACTAACGAACCCTTGAATAACCATCTTTTTGGAGTGTATAT